TCGGTGCAGGCCGGCGGTGCGTCTCTCTGAGCCTCAAACGCCCCTGCCAAAGACCAGAGCCTGGCTGGGGTGAGGAGACGAGACGAGCCGCTAAACAGGGGCCCCTTCTGTTGTGTTCTGGGTCACGTCAGCGAACACAAAATGAACTATTTTAACTGGTGCAACGAAACGTCTGGGTGGATGCTGTAGTTCACGGAAAAGCTGCCCCTCGGATTCTTGCCAGGCTTCTGGGCTTGAAAGAAAAGGTTTGAAAAAAGTTGGAAGTCAAAGTGAGCCGGTGTCAAATTCACAATGTAAAAGATACATAAAAAGACCTTCCACGCTTGAGCTTGATTTATGTTTATCTGGTAAACTCAGTGCAGGACTTTGTGTGGGAGTTACCTATCTCTCTGTTAAACAGCTTACTGTTAACTTGAACAAATTAATGTATAATCTCAGAAAAGAACACAGGCAAGTATTATGGACCAAGTACAGAAAATCTGTGGTGTCCTGTGCTCCCGTTTATTTTCCTTTTCCTTCATTCCCACATAGTGAATAAGCATGATGTGTATTCCTCCTACATTTACAGTTAAAATTTCATACTGTTTTTTAAGATCTTCATTCATAATAGATAGAACTAACGGTTTTGATTTCTGAGTGGGGCATAGGTAGAAGACTAGTTAAACATTAGCCGTTTGCCAGAGAGGCTGCAAAGGCCAACAGCAAAACGCTGTATACCAGGAGGGGGGAAATAAAATTAAATGAGTATTGAATAACTGTCCTGAAGGGACAGATACTGTAGTTTCACAGTTTTCTGTATTGCTCCAGCAATAAGAGGCCCCACCTTATCTCACACATGAGAAACTGGCTATTTTAATTTAGATAAATTTCCTGATCTGGCATGCTACTTGGCTGCCTGTGGAAGGGAGAGTAGAGGGGAAGATGGGACAAGGTGGAGCGGAACGGGGCTGCTTGTGACAGCGGTACTGGCTTACTCTGATTTAAAGCAATTGTGAAACTTTAGTATAATATAGTGGCAGGTGTGAGCCTCTGAGAAAATCCTTTTTCCATAATGTTTGGAGTTAGCAAAGCAGAACACGTCAAACAGACAGAACACAGACATTTTTTAAAGGCTATCTCTTTGCGTTACATATACTGTGGCGCTTTTGAAAAGCCAGATGTTGGCAGTGTCACTTCAGGGGTACAGTTTCTTGCAGATAAAGAGTTCACGCGTAAGAGTAAATTGGGCAATTAGCAAAGATTTGAAGTTGTGAGTGGATGCGAGCTTGCTCTGTTCTTTTTGTTAGTACCATATACATATATAACACTTTAAAACCATTTACTTTAAAAGCAGATTGTAAGAGTGAATGGGTTAGGTTCTAAATCAGGTGAGAAGATAAAATGTAATGTATTTAAATTGATTGTGCCACTTGACTCCCAAGCAAGGAACAAGGTAATATTGTGGCTGGAGCTGTAAACAAAAAAAGATGGACAAAAGTGCAACTGTCTTGTTTGTAATTTTTTCCCCAGGGAAGAAAACTCATCTCCTTCCTTGGGGAAAGATAGAGCAGACACAGTGATCATCGGTGGTGGTTGCGTTGGTGTGAGTCTAGCCTATCACTTGTCTAAAGCTGGCATGAAAAATGTCGTTCTGCTGGAAAAATCTGAGCTCACTGCAGGATCTACTTGGCATGCAGTAAGAAACATTTTGTTAATCTCTCAGATTAACAACAGTTTGTATATCTAATAGTGATTGAAGTTTTCATTATCCTCATATTCCCTGGCTCTTCAGAGATTAATTGTCCTGGCTTCTTTATAGATACAACCTTTAGCATTGAGTTCTATGTAGACTTGCTATGTGAATTTTGAAAAGTTGCTTCAGCTATCCATAATACACTTTTCTCATTTCAAAAATTTGGGATAAATGTTGTATTTTGAAATTACTGGATGAGAGGTGCTAAAATACAATGTTATAATGCATTTGTTATAATGTTAATGTTATAATGCATTTGTTGCAGTTGACTGGGCTTAGACTTTTAAACTTTAGTTTAATTTGGACTTTTTAAACTTTAGTTTTTATTTCTGAAGTAGCCTAGTTTATACTGCAGACTGTATTATCAGAAATGGTTGTGTTGGCATGCATAAGCTAGAAATGTGAAATCTGACTTCGTTCTGTGTGTAATTGATTTTCGTATATGTTATCCTGAAAGCGAGGTGATCAAGGAGCAGCATCAGTGTCCAGATACTCAGAGAGTATCCCTGTACCAGAAATTGACTCTTACTAGAGACAAGAGCTTTCTTTTCTGCCACTGATGTTATACAAAATCTTGAAGGAGCACGACTGACTGCACCGTGAACTGTTTTTCCAGGGCTGAATGTTTGTCTGTACTCCAAGAGAAAGAACTAGAAAGACATATAGGTAATAGTCACAGCTGGGAACACCTCCCATACTTAGACTAATCCAGTGGAGACAGTGGTGCACAACATGCATGCATGTAACTATGGATTTTGTATGTCAGTGTCTAGAGTGGGTAATGTACCGAATTAAATAAAGCTTGACACAAAAATAGGTGCTTTTTCCATTTACTTTCAGCAAGGTTGGATGAAATTAGAGGAAAGTTGTCCCTGTATGTAGCAATAAAAAAAAATATAAAAGCAAGTCTGCTGTCCCTAGAACTACTCTATTCATACAGTAGGGCGTTTATGCCATGCTTATAACTGTAATCTCTGAGAGCCCTTCAGGAGCACATTAAAGAGGATGACTCATATGGATCATATTTGATTTGTATTCTCATCCTCTTCCTGATCTAAAGTTTGAAGTACTTTGGTACAGATGCTTTGTGTGTTTGGGGCCTTGTGAAAGAAAATAGTAAAAAATAAAATAAAAAAATCACTGCCAGAAATGTCTGATTAGGTCTTATACTTCATTTTACTTGCTTTTCACCAAAAAGTCAAACCAAAACAACATGCATTGTATGGAGTTTGGAAAAACAAAATTCAGTAATTATATTCCTTTCAGACAGAAGCATAACATAGCTGATACGTGGTGTTCTGTTCTCTGAACATGTATCATAAGTGTCACATGAAATGTTCAAATGAATACTTTGATTTAAGCATACATGAGCGAGTTACAGACTCAAATCTATTTACCTAAAACACTTACAGAAAACCATGTATGTCAAAAGATCCCCGTGTTGAATAAGAAACCAAAATCATGCAGTAGGGTGTTGCTACTAAATGTTTCCTTTGTTGTAGTTGTTATACGCTCTCACTCTAGTTTATTGCTCATAACTCGATAAAAGCAACCTCTCCTTCAGTATTTTAGCATTCGCTTCTTAATGAAGTTAGTGAGGGAGCGCTAGGTGAGGAACTCTCTTATAAAAGTAGTGACAGATGTGGAGTGCAGCAGAGAAGATGCCTGATAAGGCAATTAGGAGGGCTGCTTTGTAGTGCCTGCTGCAACAGAATGTTATGTGATTAACGCAATAAGACACCTAGTTATGAGACAGGTTAGAAATAAATAAATATTAGGTAAACTACATGGTGTAGTTAGTTTCAGTCTTTGTTGGACTCGGTATTACAGAGGCGTGTTTGAAGATGAGAAAGTTGATGATAAATCTGTTTCACATGATTTGAAAAATCAAAACGGTGACTATTGGTACTTCTTTATTATGCCAGATAACTGTGCATGTATCAGTGGTTGCTCACAGTGATATAGTACTAGATACAGATGAAAAATACACTTACAGTTAGAATGTGAAATGGCACATAATATATTGCCTGCAGCCACAGAAGTTGGAAGTCAACTTCAGATGTTGTTGTACTATATGAAGTTTTCCCTCT